AAATCTGTTCCCAAGTATTCCCACACATAATAGAGAGACACGTGATCATATACAAATGTAAGCAAAGTTAGAAATTATTATGTTTTAGTCAAACATTCTATCGGTTTGGGCTTCTTGCGGTCAATTTGCAGTCTACAAATTATTTGTAATTATGTTCCGGGCCCCCCGACCATAAGCTCAAGAAAAAAAATCAGCCTGAGGCTGAATCTAGTTGATGATCCCTGCTTTCGGGAGTATGCGTCTATGCGAGCACAGACGTTCGCTTCACCTAGCCGAGTTCTGCTAGGAGCAAACCCAACCCATGTATGTGGACGCCTTAACAATCCCTTTTTGGTTGAAGCGTAAATAGACCTAGAATCAGAATCTCGACAAAACTGGGGAACAGTCTAGACCAGAGGTTCTTAAACCTTTTCAGCTCGAGACCCACATGAGAAATGTAGTCCTGGAATGACCCAAATTAAGAAGAAATAGTGTGTGATTATGAATGTTTACTCATGACTCGCGACCCACCTATCACATGCGCAGGGCCCACTTTGGGTCCCAAACCATAGTTTAAGAACCCGTCATCTAGACAGTGCACTTAAGTGTTCCTAAAAATATCACTGAAAAAGGCAAACCAAGAATAATAATCACAGCACAGAGAAAAATAACAAGCAAATAGCTATGTTTTAAATGGCATTTATTTTGGTTTCTCCATACAATACACTACTGTACAACAGCACATTTTTCTGAATAACTCTCATTATAAAATAGGGCTTCTACAATCAAGGTACAGCCATATAATGCTTTCAGGGACAAAAGACAACAACAGCAACAGTAGAACACCTTCATATAAAGCGCAAGAGATTAAGGAAGTGATTTCTTGTCGACAAAGCAGATTCAGTACCTTGCATGCTGCCTGTAGACCCGTTTTCTATTGGTTCTGAACTGAGGAGATCTAACAGGTGAAAATAAAATATATGACCTAACTGGTGCAAACATATGCAAGGAATTCAAGCCCAACCCTTGATTTGGGAATGCAAATCAAATTTGGAGTAGCAGCACAATTTTCCTGTACGACCAGAAACAAAAATCATCAAACAATGTGTGTGTTATTTTTTGTTTTTTCCTGACATGGTCAAAGGTGGGAACAATCACCAATACACAGCGAAAGTGGATAACGTCGAAGCCACAAGAACATTTGCTTATCATCAACATAGTCAACATCGAGTGGATCTGCAGTCAAGCTGATTATAAACTATGTGGATCAAGCGTGTGTCATTTGAAATATAATACATATGCCAACCAGCTTCAGCATTAGTTCACTAGTGTTTCAGCGGTGGAATACACATGACATTTGTTGAGGGAGTATGTGTCTAAGGAAAGAGAAAAGATAAAGCCTGCAGTTATATGAAGTGACAAGCCATTGTCCTTGTCAACAGACATCCAAAGAAGAGAAAGTCTTGAGGTAAGCAATGTGGTTCTTATCATCTCCACCCGGCACAGCCCCTCAGAGCCTGGTTCTTCTCTAGGTTTCTTCCTAGGTTCCTGCCTTTCTAGGGGAGTTTTTCCTAGCCACTGTGCTTCTACATCTGCATTGCTTGCTGTTTGGGGTTTTAGGCTGGGTTTCTGTATAGCACTTTGTGACATCTGCTGATGTAAAATGGCCTTTATAAATACATTTGATTGATTGATTGATTTCAATAGAATACCCTACTGACAATCATACAGTAACAAATCACCTTTTTTACTTCCTGATTCAAACACTGAACTGGAACAAGCACCTCCGCTAAAATAGAATGAAACAAAACAACTTTGTGTATCTTCACAATCTGAAATGCAGGTTCAGTTAAATGACATTAAAATGGGGGTGAGGATGATTTACTTGAGTCCATTTTTCAGATTCAAGAGGACTATGATGAGATTATAGCTCCAGAGATATTGAGGAGAGCCCGGTTCTTTCGAGGTGGGTTAAAAATACAACACAGACAAAGCCCAATAGTCACCTAGCAACACTCACACTGTACACACATCCAACATTCTATAAGAGTGCACATTTTGCTGATCAACAAAAACACTTATGCTTGGCAAAATAACGAGCACGTATTCCTTTTTTGAAAATAGGGGGTATACAGTGCCTTCGGAACGTATTCAGACCCCTTGACTTTTCCCACATTTTGTTACGTTACAGCCTTATACTAAAATTGATTAAATAATTTTTTCCCCTCATCAATCTATACACAATACCCGATAATGACAAAGTGAAAACAGGTTTTTAGAAATGTTTGCAAATGTATTACAAATAAAAAACTGAAATACCTTATTTACATAAGTATTCAGACCTTTTGCTATGAGACTCACAATTGAGCTCAGGTGCATCCTGTTTCCATTGATCATCCTTGAGATGTTTCTACAACTTGATTGGAGTCCACCTGTGGTAAATTCAATTGATAGGACATGATTTGGAAAGACACACACCTGTCTATATAAGGTCCCACAGTTAACAGTGCATGTCAGAGCAAAAACCAAGCCATGAGGTCAAATGAATTGTCCGTAGAGCCAGGATTGTGTATAGGCACAGATCTGGGGAAGGGTACCAAAATATTTCTGCAGCATTGAAGGTCCCCAAGAACACAGTGGCCTCCATTATTCTTAAATGGAAGATGTTTGGAACCACCAAAACTCTTCCTCGACCTGGCCGCCCGGCCAAACTGAGCAATCGGGGGAGAAAGGCCTTGGTCAGAGGGTGACCAAGAACCGGATTGGCACTCTGACAGAGCTCCTCTGTGGAGATGGGAGAAACTTCCAGAAGGACAACCATCTCTGCAGCACTCCACCAATCAGGCCTTTATGGTAGAGTGGCCAGACGGAAGCCACTCCTCATTAAAAAGACCATCACAGTACACTTGGAGTTTGCCAAAATGCACCTAAAGACTCAGACCATGAGAAACAAGATTCTCTGGTCTGATGAAACTAAGATTGAACTCTTTCGCCTGAATGCCAAGCGTCACGTCTGGAAGAAACCTGGCACCATCCCTACCATGAAGCATGGTGGTAGCATCATGCTGTGGGGATGTTTTCAGCAGCAGGGACTGGGAGACTAGTCAGGATCGAGGAAAATAATAATGGAACAAAGTAGAGAGATTCTTGATGAAAACCTGCTCCAGAGCACTCAGAACCTCAGACTGGGGCCAAGGTTCACCTTCCAACAGGACAACAACCCTAAGCAGACAGCCAAGACAACGCAGGAGTGGCTTCGGGACAAGTCTCTGAATGTCCTTGAGTGGCCCAGCCAGAGCCCGGACTTGAACCCGACCGAACATCTCTGGAGAGACCTGAAAATAGCTGTGCAGCGACGCTCCCCATCCAACCTGACAGAGCTTGAGAGGATCTGCAGAGATGAATGGCAGAAACTCCCCAAATACAGGTGTGCCAAGCTTGTAGCATCATACCCAAGAAGACTCAAGGCTGTAATCGCTGCCAAAGGTGCTTCAACCAAATACTGAGTAAAAAATATACAAACCTGTTTTTGCTTTGTCATTATGGGGTATTGTGTGTAGATTGATGAGGGGGGGAAAAAACTATTCAATCAATTTTAGAGTAAGGCTGTAACGTAACAAAATGTGGAAAAAGTCAAGGGGTCTGAATACTTTCCGAAGGTACTGGATAGTGATGTGCTTGTAAATAACCCAATAAAACAAGATAGGCTACATTTAGTAGCTGATAATGTCCACGCTTATCATGTTTCTAGATGTGCATACTTTAACCCCTGATCCAGTGATACATCCAACCTGATGATCTGCCCTTAGAGACAGGACCCTCCTGCTTGTTCTACTTTCATCCCAGAAGACAAAGATCACATTTAAGAACCGGCTACCGAAGATCTACAAGTACCTCACAAAACATGAATCCACTGAGTAGCTCTACTAACTAGATGACTGTTGTAGAGGGGATGTTGTGAATGTACTGTAGTAACAGCACCGACACTAAAGATTGTAAATCAGACCACATGACCAAGAGCAACAAGCTTTACAAGGAAGGTAAAACAACAATGAGGTTACAGTACCGGTGCTACCTGAACATGCTACTGATTGTGACTGCAGAGCTACGCTCCCCTGTAATACTGTATCATCACACACCCTGGAATAAGGAAGGATTTCCCTCATCATACAACACTGTTATTATTATTATGATCTATGACAGAGTTGGGATTGCTTACTGTACACCTTCATAGAGATACACCCTTCACCGTTATCACCACTATCAACTTATCATTTAGAAAAAGAGACAATTCACAAATATACCTCATCATAACAATACTAAGTTATCTCTGGACACTAACCTTTAGCTCATTCTAGGTATCCATGAGATGAGGCACATGTGTAATTTGTGTGCACTATGCATTTAGTCAGAAGACACACACACAATTGACTTTTATCTTGCACTTGTCAAACAACTCCAGTTGGATGCTCTGTAACGGAATGTATGTAGAACGCTCCCAGCAGACTTTTATCACTAGTCAGACTAAACCAGCTCACTGACACGCTCTGCCACCCAATAGCTAGTCAGCTGTTGCCTTGACTGACCATTCATCTCAAATGAAACCCTATTCATTATGTAGTTCACTACTTTTGACCAAAGCAACACAGGGAAGATGATCAATAGTAGAGCACTATATAGGGACCAGGGTATCATTTGAACCGTCTTCCTGAGTTTTCCTAGCAGAAGAAGTCCCTCTCATTCTGCAACTATCATCAAGTGCTATATCCATAATATAATATCATTTTCATATACAGTATAATTTCATGTATTGTTATGGCATCTATCCCTTAGGAAAGGACTAACATAGTTATTCAATTATTCAAAAATATATCCCCCAAACAACCAGGGGCTCTGGGCCTATTTAACCTGCACTGGGACTGAGACAAGAACCATCCGAGCCCAGACACACACACATCGGCCTGACTTCATACACAGACACAGGGCTCACTGTTCCAACTCCCTATAGCCAACACACACCTTATCTCCATACCTAGAGCGCGCACACACACACACACACACACACACACACACAGAGTTCTGCTGACAGTAGAAGACAGTAATAGACACTACAGCCTTCCAGAACTCTACTAGTGCTGTAGACAGATAGAAGCCCTGGGGTTTGGCAGCTTCTGATTTGGCCTCAATAAACCAACTATGATTGGATGATTAGTAGAATCAGGTGCGCTACTGCTTGTCTGGAACAAAGCCTGCACCCACACCCACTCTCTGCACCCACACCAGTCCTTGAAAAGCTAACCTTTCATTCACTCTCTCTATTTAATAACATCTTCTATTCATCAGTCCCATGTCTGTGATTTATTGTTATGAATGTCCGCCACACCGTCAAGCACTTCTGTTGGGAGAGGAGTGAGTGACTCCATACAAACTGATCTGACAGCAGTTTTACAGCATCAATGGGAAAGGACCGCAGGGAGTGGGTCAAGGCTTGGTCGGGTCCCCAAACACACAACTGACACAAACACTCTCTCTCTCTTTCTAGCTCAGACTAGTCTAGCCGTACTCACAGACAGACAGACTCTCTCTCGCTCTCTCCCTCTCAGATGAGCCTGGCCTCTCCCTCCATGTTTAGTGGTAGCTCACACACTCCAGTAAAGTGCATCTCCTTGCCCCTGGTTCCCTCAGACCTGTCCCCTCTCCCCCCCAGGCAGGGTGAGGGTTGCTGGGCCGTGGGGTCCGGGGACCTCCTCTCCCTCAAGAAGACATCCAGTCGACGCAGCATCTGCTTGGGGTTCTTTTTGGCAAACAGCTCCACTTCTGGAATGGGAGCAGAGACACAGTGGGGATGTGATTGTGTTGCAAAGGGATGTTATTAATAATGACATGACACTCTGCTAAAAGAACTGGGCTTGGTTAAGCCTGGAGTACAAACCCAGTGAGTTACCTTTCAGGACGAAGCCAGAGTCAGAGATAGTCTTCTGCTGGCTCTTCCACAGCTGGTAGAGGTGCAGGAACGTGGCAACGTAGAACTCATTCAACACCCCCACCACCTGCTGACGACGGTTACACTCCCTGGACCACCGCACACACACACAACCACACAAAGAACCACAAACACACAAATGTGTGAATTTCCTTTAACTAAGTGACTAAGCACTTGTGAGTGACTGTCAAGCCAATGTGTCTGTCTGTCTGTCGTAGAGGAGTAGGGCAGGACACTTACTTGGACAGGGCCTCTTCTCTGAGTGCATGCAGGGCGATACAGGTCATATTGAGGGACATCACACAGAATGGAAAGTTCTAGAGAAAGATTGGGCAGAAAGAGTATAGGTTTGTAAATAGACTATACAAGTAGGCAAGCACACATTTAATAGATGTCCCCACTTCTTTGAAACTGCCCTCACCTGAACAGTTTGTGGCCAGTGTGTGTATGTTTGTGTGTGTGTACCTGTGTGGGGTGCTGGGACAGCTTGTAGATGTCTCTGGCTAGAGGGAGTGTCTCAGGGTCCATTACCAGGTACAAGGTATGCATCAGCCCCAGAAAACCTGTACCACGCAGGTCTGTGGCTGGGTCTGTACCTACACACACACACACACACACACACACACACACAAACAAACGCACAGAAAACACACACACATACAGACAAGCACACACACACACAAATACACAGACACACACGTTATCATTTCAGTGTTTTGTTCATTTCTTTATAAAAAGTATAAATCTAATCTTATCAACTTTTTACAGTAATCATTCATTATTTAGTCTAAGACGTTGGGGTAGGGGTGGTGCTAAGCTGACATATGGAATTCTTTTAGATGGTCATACTATAGATCATTTACTATATAAAAAAATGATTCCTTGAAACCGTTAATTTTAAAACTACCGGTTATAAAACTAACTGGCCACTAAATCCTGGTTCGAATCAGGACTGTGAGCCCGCATGAGACCCATTGAAAATTCTAGGTAGGGAGGAATCATGCGTTTGCAATCCAGGGTTTTTCCCTTCCTGGGGGGAGTATGAAAAATAAATCAAAAATCACTTCTAACTTAAGTCGTCTTTTTAAACGCTAATGTACCTGTAAGGTAAGACCCCGTGACACTTGTGGGGGTCGTAGAGCAAAACGGAGAACACCATCGTGTTCGTGAAAGTCTCATCTTTCCATTGGGTGGTCATAATAGTTTTGTAGGTCAAACAGTTCAGACGCTACAGACGTTTCCGTGAGAAGACCGATTCTCGGGATGTCAAATGGCCTGACAAACACCGCTCTAGCTATGCCACCTTTCACCGCAGATGCAGAAGTGCGACACTGGCGGATGTGGTGGATTGAGACGCATCCAATGCAAAATAACAGATATCGCTTAAACTGACAGATTTTGATGGGGATTTTTTTAAAATGTAAATTAAATTGACGCATCGGTGCGTCAATCGACTCTAGGGGGTTTTAATCTCTGTGTGAGAGTGGCATCTAATAAAGCAGTGGTCACCTACCAGTCGATTGACAAGGCATTCCTAGTCGATTACCAAACATTTCTGTCAAAAACCTAACGATAAAGCCTTACGTTGCTATTTTTTTTTATTAGCTTCGTGCTGTTGGCATTAGGTGCACTCGATTCAGCACCCCTAGCGCCGGGAAGGCAAAGTGTTCCCATTTTGAACCATTTAATGTGTCTGAAGTTAGAACTCTGCCTTTCCGTCAGGCCCAGAGAGCAAATCAAGTGCACTTATAGCCCTACTGCTCGCCAATCAGATAGCTCAGATCACCATGTCTGCACAGTTTCCTCACGCCATAGACTGTAAAAAGAAGCCTCGAGCGCACAGCAAAGTTGATACTATGAGATTTCAAAACCATGACTAGAGACAGACTCAACGAATACAGCAAAGAGCTGCTGTTTTTATGAGTAAGTTCATGTTTAAGTTGTTATTATTCAGCACTGTTAACACTTTGTTCAACACTTTTATAAGCCATAAAATGTGTGTTCTCCCTACTTCCACTCACACTACAACCTGCACTGCAGCTGCAATGAATAAGTATAGCAAAGTGTTCCGATAAGCTTGCGTTATTATTATTAGCGGCTTGTGTCTTTTTTAATATCAAGGAATATTTTACTTTCTCTGGTCATAGGAGTAACAACATTAATTGGTGCATGAGGCAGAAATAATGCAGTGTGACTTGAGTTTCGCCATCAGCTGGAAGACTGTGTCCCCTTTTCTCATCGGAGGGAGGGAGAGAGGAGCGATGGTGAGTCGGGTGAGGCAGCCTCACCGCTGCTCCCTCCCCTCAGACTGATCATCAGATGCAGGCCATCAGTCCAGTAAAAAAAAAACACATATATATATATATATATACAGTGCCTTGCAAAAGTATTCATCCCCCTTGGTGTTTTCCTATTTTGTTGCATTACAACCTGTAATTTAAAATGATTTTTATTTGGATTTCATGTAATGGACATACACAAAATAGTCCAAATTGGTGAAATTAAATAAATAACTTCTTTCAAAAAATTGTAAAGATTAAATAACGGAAAAGTGGTGCGTGCATATGTATTCACCCCCTTTGCTATGAAGCCCCTAAATAAGATCTGGTGCAACCAATTACCTTCAGAAGTCACATAATTAGTTAAATAAAGTCCACCTGTGTGCAATCTGTTCTGAAAGGCCCCAGAGTCTGCAACACCACTAAGCAAGGGGCACCACCAAGCAAGCAGCACCATGAAGACCAAGGAGCTCTCCAAATAGGTCAGGGACAAAGTTGTGGAGAAGTACAGATCAGGGTTGGGTTATAAAAAAATATCCGAAACTTTGAACATCCCACGGAGCACCATTAAATCCATTATTAAAAAATTGAAAGAATATGGCACCACAACAAACCTGCCAAGAAAGGGCCGCCCACCAAAACTCACAGACCAGGCAAGGAGGGCTTTAATCAGCGAGGCAACAAAGAGACTAAAGATAACCCTGAAGGAGCTGCAAAGCTCCACAGCGGAGATTGGAGTATCTGTCCATAGGACCACTTTAAGCCATACATTCCACAGAGCTGGGCTTTATGGAAGAGTGGCCTGAAAAAAGTCATTGCTTAAAGAAAAAAATAAGCAAACACGTTTGGTGTTCACCAAAAGGCATGTGGGAGACTCCCCAAACATATGGACTCCCCAAACGTGGTCCTCTGTAGCTCAGCTGGTAGAGCACGGCGCTTGTAACGCCAAGGTAGTGGGTTCGATCCCCGGGACCACCCATACACAAACATGTATGCACGCATGACTGTAAGTCGCTTTGGATAAAAGCGTCTGCTAAATGGCTTATTATTATTATTATTATTATTATTATTATTATTATTATTATATATTATTATTATATGGAAGAAGGTACTCTGGTCAGATGAGACAAAAATTGAGCTTTTTGGCCATCAGGGAAAACGCTATGTCTGGCGCAAATCCAACACCTCTCATCACCCCGAGAACACCATCCCCACAGTGAAGCATGGTGGTGGCAGCATCATGCTGTGGGGATGTTTTTCATCGGCTGGGACTGGGAAACTGGTCAGAATTGAAGGAATGATGGATGGCGCTAAATACAGGGAAATTCTTGAGGGAAACCTGTTTCAGTCTTCCAGAGATTTGAGACTGGGACGGAGGTTAATCTTCCAGCAGGACAATGACCCTAAGCATACTGCTAAAGCAACACTCAAGTGGTTTAAGGGGAAACATTTAAATGTCTTGGAATGGCCTAGTCAAAGCCCAGCCGACCTCAATCCAATTGAGAATGTGTGGTATGACTTAAAGATTGCTGTACACCAGCGGAACCCATCCAACTTGAAGAAGCTGGAGCAGTTTTGCCTTGAAGAATGGGCAAAAATCCCAGTGGCTAGATGTGCCAAGCTTATAGAGACATACCCCAAGAGACTTGCAGCTGTAATTGCTGAAAAAGGTGGCCTCTACAAAGTATTGACTTTGGGGGGGTGAATAGTTATGCACGCTCAATAACTGTTTTTTTTGTCTTATTTCTTGTTTGTTTCACAAAAAAAAATATTTTGCATCTTCAAAGTGGTAGGCATGTTGTGTAAATCAAATGATACAAACCCCATTTTAATTCCAGGTTGTAAGGCAACAAAATAGTAAAAATGCTAAGGGGGGTGAATACTTTCGCAAGCCACTGTATATTATGCTCACTCAGCCGTGCCTCACAAGTAATACAACAAATGATCTATTACCAGTGTGATCATATACCAAAAATGTTGAAATAGTATTTCAAAATGGTCTGAGAAGTACAACATTGGCAGGGAAATTTAAGCAAAGCCAATATGCAGTGATAATGTATTGGGCCAATTGCCTACACAAACCTCATTGCTATAGAACGGTTTTTAATTGGTTAAATGTTGCATCGGCTTACGTTTTTTAAGTCATGTTTTTAAAAAATCTGAGCGGTAGATCTCGGCTTGCATTTTGACTCAGAAAGTGATCTTGACTCAGAAAAGGTTGGTGACCTCTGAAATAAAGCATGATGCAGAAGATGTCTCTCACCCTGAAAGCCCAAGTTCTCCCAGTGGGTGCCGAATCGAGGACAGTCCAGCTTGCTGCCTGTCAGCCTCTTATAGATGGTCTGTAGAACACGCAGGTGTACAGCCTGACTGTTATCCAGAGAACCTACAGAGAGGAACACGCACACAATCGATCTCTTATAGTCTGCAAAACGAATCTCTCGCCCTCTCTCAAACACACACGCGCGCACATACACACTCTATCTTACACTGTGCGATGGCAAAGACCAGGTCCCTCTCCTCCAGTAGTTCTCGGTGAAGTCGCGGCGGGCCGAACAGGAAGTGTGTGAGAGTGGCCAGACCAGTCCTGCGGATGGTGGGCTGGATCTTCTTCTACGGAGAGAGATAGGGGACAAAACTCAAACTGAAAAATGTTCTCAATTGATGGTGAGGAATCTACAATGCAGTCATCAAACCCCCATACACAGACAGACAGACGGACCTTACCAGCAGCTCTCCAAGGTCTGTGGTCTGGAAGTGCTGCAGCGCCTCGTTAAAGGAGATGATAGGGGTGGGACTGGACTCCTCACTGACCACTGGAGACACACAGGTCAATAACAGACATCAACAGACTCAGATTCAACCTAGAATGGAGGATTTATGATCATGGGTTGGAACCAAGATTATTTTCCAATCGTTTCGTTATGAACATAACCTTTTTTGGGGGGGTTCTGTTCCACTGTTCTGACCAGTAAAATAATGTTCTGAACCAGTTCTAACCAAAAACAAGTAATGGTTTATATCATTTATTTCGGGTCCTTTTTTAATTATTTTTACCCCCAATTTTGTGATATCCAATTGGTAGTTACAGTCTTGTCCCATCGCTGCAACTCCTGTACGGACTTGGGAGAAGCGAAGGTCGAGAGCCATGCGTCCCCCGAAACACGACCCTGCAAGCCGCACTGTTTCTTGACACACTGCTCGCTTAACCCGGAAGCCAGCCGCACCAATGTTTCGGAGGAAACACCATACAACTGCCGCCGTGTCAGCGTGCATGCGCCCTGCCTGCCACAGGAGTCGCTAGAGCGCGATGGACAAGGACATCCCGGCCGGCCAAACCCTCCCCTAACCCGGACGACGCTGGGCCAATTTTGCGCCGCCTCATGGGTCTCCCTGTCGCGGCCGGCTGCGACACAGTGCCATAAACCGCTGCCATATACTTTTTTGGGGTACGAACCGGTTCAGAACATTATTTCGCTGGTCAGAATAGTGGAACGGAACGAAGAAAATTGTGGAACGAAACGATTAGAAAATAATTTTGGTTCCAACCCACTACAGACAAAAACACTTTACAATTTACATACATTTAAAACATTAACAAAGACATTAAAGACTTACAGTATGTATACAAATAAAATAAAATACAAATAAAAACACACAAATGACAGGGGAGGAGAAATACAGGCACAGCTTTCAGGCAGCCAGGGAGTAGGGAGATGTTGCCCCTAACAACAACTCACCTGGTTGGATACTCTCTAGAGCCTCCCACTCCTCTCTAGCCTGCTCCACATCCGCACTCTCCCCTGAAAACATCCCACATACACACAGGTGAGGAGAAACACACACATATACAGCTAACCTGCAACAACATACACAGCTGAGTAATCGTTCTGCCATGTTGATATGGTGGTTATTTCAATCAGCTGTGTAGTCCTAAGGCAAAAACCAAAATGTGCACAGGGAGGTGGGGGGGTTCCCAACCGAGCTTGGGAAACCCTGCTCTAGACCATGACATAACCATATCATATCCTGCCCCTCATCTCTCCAACCTCACTCCTGAGGGGACGTGCTAGGGAGGTCTGGTAGCTAGGATACATGGTTGTTCCATTGGGAAGAGTGGTGTGTGTGTGTGTGTCTATCTTACTTTCTATCTTGGGTTGCTCTCCTCCTGCTGCCAGGGACTGCAGAAGGCCATTCTGCTTCAGAGCTGAAATCTAAACGAATCACAATAAAATATATGTAAACACAGAAACTCTAAAAGAAAGAGAACAGCAACAGTGGTGATGTGACGGACGGTTTCTGTCACATCTTTGACATGATGAGGGCCTGTATAGAGCAACTCACTGGCAGAGATTTGAGCAATGAACTGCCGTTGGCGTGCTCTTTGACACTATGACATGGCGTCAGTCCATTGATCACCTGGGAATACAGAAACACAACAGGTTACATAACACAACAGGTTACACAATGCGACAGTGATGGGGGGGGGGGGGGATTCATAGTTACATATCGCAATATTCTTCTTGGACGATATTATATCGATATGTGACTCCAAGTATCAATTTGTAAAGACTGTAGGTAGCGTTAGCTAGCGCTAGTCAGCTGTACCGGCGCCAAAACTCCGGTATTTGTCATCCTATAGCTTATTCTCCATCTTCTTTTTAAATAGTGAGCCAACACGTTTTCGGCACTTTTATTTACATGTCTGATCAAAACTAGTTGTTTTCTAATGCTCTCTCGTCTCTCTGCAGCAGCCATACAGTGAGCAATATGTTTGGAATACAAAGAATCGTGAGGATCTCAATACATATCGTATCGGCACATAAGCATCGTGATAATATCGTATGGTGAGATCCCTGGCAATTCCCAGCCCTACAATGCAACATAGAACAGCAGGACCAAAAAGCTACCAGTCCATAACTCTGACAACACAAGATCTGGTCATGGGAAACTCTAAATGGGAAACTCTGGTCGGTTGTTGTACTCACGGGTTTGTGGTTGGAGTGGCTATTGGTTAGCTCCTCTGTCTCTTTACATTCATGATGGAACACACCATTCAGACCCTGACAGGGGGAGGGGACAGCACAGACAAGAGGAATCATCAGACACACACACAGCACCAGAGTGGCATGAATGAGTAGGAGAGAAGAGGGCAGGAACGTCTCTGTGGAATTAGCGGTAGCCTTCTCACCTGTGCAGGATGGCACAGTGCCAGGGCAGACAGACAGACAGGCAGACACTGCAGGGAGATTATTGCTAAGCAGAGAGGGAACTGTTAGGCTACTTGCTAGTGGAAACCTTTTATTTCCCCATGTAAACACTAGAGGGGAAGCTGCTTCATTACTTCCTCCTTCACTCACTAAAACAAAGGGGATTAAATACAGAAGGGAGAGAGGGAAAGTCCCCTAAGCATAACACATTTTAAGGGCATGTCAATAGACAGACGCAGAGATACCTGCAGTTAATTAGGTCCCCCAAAAGTGAACTCAGCCATGCTCACCTGAGAAATAGCTGAGAAATGGATGTGTATACACTACTAGGAGGTTTTACTGTGAAGCAGATAGATCTGTTACTGCAGCAAGTTTCCATGTGCAATCTGAATGAATACCACCACACCGCACCCACATTGTCTACACTTGTGATGGTATCACACAATCAGTATCCAGGTAACATGCGAACAGATCAAACAGACTGCAACCAAGGCCATAAGGTCAAAATGTTGATTTGAAACTTGACTGATACTGTTCCATTTCATTGTATACAGCTGGTGAGACTGCCAATCACACTTTAAAGGGTTAGGCTATGCAAGGTTAAAACACCTACCTCTGTGTGTGCTGTGACACCACTGTCCCCTTCCATGGCATGAGTGTGTGTGTCTGTGTGTGAGTGTGTAATCCCTGTTCTACCCTTTAAAGCCTTTTTTCCCAGAATGAGGTGGTCAGAAGAGCTACTGGGAAGACCCCCATGTTGTCTGTTGTGTCCCTTTCCACAAATACTGCTTGTCAAATGTCCCCTTCCTTCCTCTCGCTGTCTAGGTCCAGAGTAGTCAACAGGTAGATCTCATTGAATACATTTGTTTTGCATCCTGCCCCATTAGAGGGGCTGCAGAGCTGGATATGGACACTGCTGATCTGGGGTGGCCTCTCTCTTTCCCAGCCGCTTCATTGCTTTGACACTCAACGTCGGCACCTCACATCCACAATATAACAATGCTCAAGCCAAGGTGGGGTGAGTCTTGGTGAAGTCTTGCAGTTGGAGTGTGGCTTCTCCTTGACAAGATCCAACCAATAGGGGGCACTCATGCCATCGTATGTCAAACTGGTTGTCATGGATATCTGCAATTTGGGGCAGAAAAAATAAGGTGGGTAGCTCGCTATTTCATAAATAGAATGCCAAAAGCATAATTATAATTGTTCATAAACACAAACTGATCAATGACGGTCTATTTTCTTTGGGGAAATTATCCAAACCAAACTCATTGAATGATTAGCTAGCTACATCGAATCGTTATCAAGCTGTCAAACTAGCTAACATTACCAAATGGCCAACATGAGCTACTGTAGCTAGGTTAGCTAGTGCCAAAGACCAACTCACACCCTACACAAAAAAAAGTGGTTAGCTAGCTAGCTAACGTGATATGTTTATGCAAAAACGTCATGGTACAATCTGAAACTTGGATAACGTTCCCAGTAACTGTCATAGCTAAGCTAACTACCGGTATGCTAGGAAGCTACGTGCGCTGACCACTGAAGCAGAGCTGACAGGCTACGGCTAGTTAGTCTACAGTACATTAACTTTTAACAGATGCTAGCATTGATTTTATCGTCAGGTCAATATTGCTATTTATCTACATATATCATGAATGCATGTTTTTTTTGGTTGCATAACATTTATACTTAGACAGTCAACTGGCTACTACTAGCTAACTCAACATCAGTGGCTCAGAACTGTCATCCAGCTAGCCTTTTTCCACAATCATGCAATCTGTTTCCACAAGCCAACCACACATTTTCCGGATATTTTTGATTTCTCTCAGTTTTTTAAACATTAATATAACAGCAGCGATTGTCTATATATTAGTTTAATACTATTTATTTTACCTCAGTTTCTCTCCTTCCAATCTCAGTTTCCCTTCCCCCTTTACACAGTTAACTTCAAGTGCATTCTGGGAATTGTGGTTTCCTGCTCTGCCTGTGCTGGTTCCTTTTCGATTACGTCATGGCTAAAGCTAACCCAGGGATACGTTTCCCAGAATGGACCTTGATTGTACTGGACAATGCAAATCGGTGGTATAGTTAGTCATTTATGGTAATATAAAAACTATATAACCATAATGCACCTGTCCTGTAAAGTGGCCAGAAATAATGTGTGATAATAATAATAATAATTTGGTGGGTGCTTATATTTGTCTTGTTTCACGTGTGTATTATACACCTGTGAAATTGAAATCTTTGCATATCCCAACTCCCCCGGAGACACACACAGAGAGGGGGGTCACAGCCAGTGTAGGGTCTGCCATTATCTACTGCGACCCTGGAGCAATTAAGGTTAAGTGCCTTCCTCAAGGACACATAAACAGATTTCTTTCACCTTGTTGGCTCAGGGATTGAAACTAGCAACCTTTCAGTTACTGGCCCAACACTTTAACGCTAGGCTACCTGCCACCCATACCTGCTTCTTGTGTGCGTGTGTGTGCGTACTGAGGCCCTTTTTGTGATATAGCAAGATGCTGTATGGTAGGCCTACCGAAGGTCTACAGGTCAGAATGAAGTGACCTTACTGTACTCTACTAATTTCAAACCCATAAACATCTGGCATTTAACATGAATTAACCCTACAAATAGCACTGTTGGGCGATCTGGAAAGCCATAGTCAATCACTCAACAACATAATAATACTCTAAGTGAAAAATATTGATTTTAAAATGACAATCTGTTCAGATGTTGCATGCATCAACCAATGGTTGCGTGCCACGTCATCGACTGACAGATTGCTATGAGAAATTATGTGGTTAGCTGATACGTAAAATACCTATCCAGACGTTGTAAGATCTGGCAGGCGTCAGCAACGCCTAGGCAGAGGAACACGCCCCTAGAGTCAGGTTAACACCACCCAATCATAACCTTAAGGGGAAATCACAAAACTGTCCAACACTTGGACCATGTCACATTGTATTAGTTGACTAACTCTGCACATTCACATGCTGTTCTGCTTTTAAATAAATATTAAGGGGAAGAAATACCTCAAATTGAATACATTCCAACATTTCGCCAAAACTTTTACGATAAACTCTACATGCAGTTAGTTCACCTATGTGTTTACAGTTATCCAATGGCGAAGGGCAAACGGTGGTAGGAAAGCAGCTATTCCTGGTGACTGGCTGTCGCTGGCTGTGTGGTCAGCTCACAGGGCTCAGCGTGGACATGTACTCTGAGAAATAACATCTCTCTGACCAGATCCCGCCTGGCACGCCAGCTATGTAAACCTTTGACATCATTGTGGTAGAACATGGGTGGGCTGGAGTGACGTACAGTAGGGAGTTAGACCGGTGCTCTCCATCCCATCCAGCATCAAGGTTAGCCGGCCTGGCGGCCACAGAGAAACAGACTGGGGCATGGGGACTACATTACAGGGTTAGCCGGCCTGGCGGCCACAGAGAAACAGACTGGGGCATGGGGACTACATTACAGGGTTAGCCGGCCTGGCGGCCACAGAGAAACAGACTGGGGCATGGGACTCGAGCGCCTGGGGCAGAGAATCAGGGGATGGGACTATTACAGGGTTAGCGGCCTGGCGGCACCACAGACTGGGAGGGGATACTTACAGGTTGCAGCCTGGCGGCATGGGGCATGGGACTACATTACAGGTTAGCGCGCGACAGAGAAACAGACTGGGGCATGGGGACTACATTACAGTCCAGGACATAGAGAAGGCATTTTCAGAAGAGGGAATTGAACCATGGTTATCATCTTTGTCAAGGGTTGTATTTGATAGTCAGATTGTTTTTTTGTCTATTGTGTTTAGTTACTTCACTTATCATCACTTGGCTGTGTTTTTAGGTTATACATTCCCTTCCCCCTTTGATCATGAAATAGGTTTTTGGCCATGTCTCTTATTCTCTTCCCATGTATTATGTGAACAGTAGCAGGGCTGTCCAACCCTGTTCCTGGAGAGCTACCCTCCTGTACGTTTTCACTCCAATCTCAGTTGTATTGTTTTGAATTGTTAGGTATTACTGCACTGTTGGAGGTAGAAACATAAGCATTTCGCTGCACCAATATGCGATAACATCTGCAAAATATGTGTATGCAACCAATAACATTTGATTTGATTTGATTTGAACTAACCTGATTAATCTTATCAACCAGCTAATTATTCGAATCAGGTGTGCTAGATTACGGTTGGAGCAAAAACCTACAAATGTCAATACGTCCGTATAGGGACAAAGTGGAGTCTCAATTCAACGGCTCAGACAGGAGACGTATGTGGCAGGGACTCCAGACAATCACGGCTTAGAAAGGGAAAGCCAGCCACGTCGCGGACACCGACACTTCGCTCCCAGACAAGCCAAACACCTTCTTCGCCTGCTTCGAGGAAAACACAGAGCCATCGCCACCGGCCACCGCTGATCACAAGGACCGTGAGCTCTTGTTCTCTGTGGCCAACGTGAGTAAGACGTGTAAGCGTCTTAACCCTTGCAAGGCTGCCGGCCCAAACGGCATCCCAAGCCGCGTCCTCAGAGTATGTGCAGACCAGCTGGCTGGAGTGTTTACGGACATATTCAATCTCTCCCTATCCCAGTCTGTAGTCCCCACTTGCTTCAAGATGTCCACCATTGTTCCTGTACCCAAGAAAGCGAAGGTAACTGAACTAAATGACTGTCGCCCCGTAGCACTCACTTCTGTCATGATGAAGTGCTTTGAGAGGCTAGTTAAGGATCATATCACCTCTAACCTTACCCAACACCCTAGGCCCACTACAATTTGCATACCGCCCCAGATCCACGCAAATGCCCTCGCACTGCACACTGCCCTATCCCATATGGACAAGAGGAATACCTATGTAAGAATGCTGTTCATCGACTACAGCTCAGCATTCAATACCATAGTGCCCTCCAAGCTCATCACTAAGCTCAGGGCCCTCAGGACCCACAAGGGCGCGTGCTCAGCCCCCTCCTGTACTTCCTGTTCACCCATGACTGTGTGGCCACGTACGTCTCTAACTCAATCATTAAGTTTGCTGACGACACAACAGTGGTAGACCTGATTACCAACAACGACGAGACAGCCTACAGGGAGGAGGTGAGGGACCTGGAGGAGTGGTGCCAGGAAAAATAACCTCTCCCTCAATGTCAACACAATGAAGGAAATGATCGTGGACTTCAGGAGACAGCAGAGAGCGCCCATCCACATCGATGGGGCCGCAGTGGAGAGGGTGAAAAGCTTCAAGTTCCTCGGCGTGCACATCACTGACAACTTGAAATGGTCCATTGACACAGACAGTGTGGTGAAGAAGGCGCAACAGTGCCTCTTCAACCTCAGGAGGCTGAAGAAATGTGGCTTGGCCCCTAAGACCCTCGTGAACTTCTACAGATGCACCACTGACAGCATCCTGTCGGGCTGTATCACCGCCTGGTACGGCAATTGCACCGTCCGCAACCGCAGGGCTCTCCAGAAGGTAATGCGGTCAGCCCAATGCATCACTGGGGGCACACTGCCTGCCCTCCAGGACATCTACAGCACCCGGTGTCACAGGAAGGCCAAGAAGATCATCAACAACCTCAGCCAACTGAACCACAGCCTTGATCACCCTGCTACCATCTAGAAGGCGGAGATAGTACAGGTGCATCAAAGCTGGGACTTAGAGACTGAAAAACTGCTTCTATATCCAGGCCATCAGACTGTTAAATAGTCACCACTAGCTGGCCTCCGCCCAGTACCCTGCCCTGAACCTTAGTCACTGTTACTAGCCGGCTTCCACCCGGTACTCTACCTTGCACCTTAGAGACTGCTGTCCTATCAACATAGTCATTGAACACTGGTCACTTTAATAATGTTTACATACTGTTTTACTTCATATATGTATATACTTTATTCTAGTCAAGGTGCATCCTATATAAATAATGCTGTACACACCTTTTCCATTCATATACTGTCCATACTGTCTATTTCACACCATTATATACACCTATACACTGAGTGTACAAAACATTAAGGAAACCTTCCTAATATTGAGTTTCACCACCCTCTTTTGCCCTCAGAACAGGCTCAATTCGTTGGGGCATGGACTCTACAAGGTGTCAAAAGAGTTCCACAGGGATGCTGGCCCATGTTGACTCCTTTGGGTGATGGACAATTCTTGATTCACACGGGCAACTGTTGAGAGTGAAAAACCCAGCAGCGTTGCAGTTCTTGACACAAACCGATGCACCTGGCACCTACTACCATAACCTGTTCAAAGGCACTTAAATATTTTGTCTTACTCATTCACCCTCTGAATGGCACACATATACAATACATGTCTCAACTGTCTCATTGCTTAAAAATCCTTATTTAACCCATCTCTTCCCCTTCATCTACACTGATTGAAGTGGATTTAACAAGTATCATCAATAAGGGATCATAGCTTTCACCTGGATTCACATGGTCAGTCTATGTCATGGAAAAATCAGGTATCCTTAATGTTTTGTACACTCAGTGTATATACAGCTGTGGAAAAAATTAAGAGACCACTGCAAATTATTCTTAAATCAGCATCTCTACATGTATGACAGCCATTCCATTCCAGTGTCTGTTGAATTCCAACACAGGCACACCTCATTCTACTGAATTAGGTACTGATTAGGTGATCAAATGAACCAAATCTTATTTAACGAGGAAAAGTATAAAAATCACTGCTGTGGTCATCACTATCCTCTTGCAATAGGACCAGCTGGATGGCAAAAACAGTGCTAATAGTACCTCAAAAGTAATATTAATCAAAAGATAACTATTGACCATGCCAAAAGACTTGAAAAGGAAAGTTTAGAGTAAGGAAAAGAAGGGTTCAATTCTGGCTTTACTGGCAGAGGGATACAGTGAGCGTCAGGTTGCTTCCATCCTTACATTTTCAAAGACGACGGTTCATAAGAACAAGGTCAAGCAGCAGACATTGGAGACAACAAAGCTACAGACCGGCAGAGAGCGAAAACGACTCTACTGACCGGGATGACCGCCAACTCATTCGAATGTCACTCAACAACAGTAGGATGACATCAAGTGACCTACAAAAAGAATAGCAAACGGCAGCTGGGGTGAAGTGCACGGCGAGGACGGTTCGAAACAGGCTCCTAGGAGCAGGGCTGAAGTCGTGCAAAGCTAGAAAAAATCCCTTCATCAATGAGAAGCAAAGAAGAGCCAGGCTGAGGTTTGCAAAAGACCATAAGGATTGGACTGTAGAGGACTGGAGTAAGGTAATCTTCTCTGATGAGTCCAATTTTCAGCTTTGCCCAACACCTGGTCGTCTAATGGTTAGACGGAGACCTGGAGAGGCCTACAAGCCACAGTGTCTCGCACCCACTGTGAAATTTGGTGGAGGATTGGTGATGATCTGGGGGTCCTTCAGCAAGGCTGGAATCGGGCAGATCAAGCCACGTACAAGGTTGTCCTGAAAGAAAACTTGCTTCCTTTTGCTCTGATATTGTTCCCCAACTCTGAGGATTGGTTTTTCCAGCAGGACAATGCACCATGCCACACAGCCAGGTCAATCAAGGTGTGGATGGAGGACCACCAGATCAAGACCCTGTCATGGCCAGCCCAATCTTCAGACCTGAACCCCATTGAAAACTTCTGGAATGTGATCAAGGGGAAGATGGATGGTCACAAGCCATCAAACAAAGCCGAGCTGCTTGAATTTTTGCACCAGGAGTGGCATAAAGTCACCCAACATCAATGTGAAAGACTGGTGGAGAGCATACCAAGACGCATTAAACCTGTGATTGAAAAATCAGGGTTATTCCACCAAATATTGATTTCTGAACTCTTCCTAAGTTAAAACATTACTATTGTGTTGTTTAAAAATGAACATGAAGTTATTTTCTTTGCATTATTCGAGGTCTGACAACACTGCATATTTTTTTGTTATTTTGACCTGTTGTCATTTTCTGCAAATAAATGCTCTAAATGACAATATTTTTATTTGGAATTTGGGAGAAATGTTGTCAGTAGTTTATAGAATAAAACAAAAATGTTATTTTTACCCAAACACATACCTATAAATAGTAAAATCAGAGAAACTGATAATTTTGCAATTTCCGCAGGTGTATATATTTCGGACTCTGACATTACTTGTTCTGATATTTCTTAATTTGATTTTGATTTTTTGATTTGCGTGTATTGTTTTGTATAGTTAGGTGTTACTGCAATGTTGGAGCTAGAAACATAAGCATTCCGCTGCACCAATATGCGACCAATAAAATGTGATTTATTAGAATCAGGTGCACTAGATTAGGGTTGGAGTGAAAACCTGCAGGACGTAGCTCTACAGGAACAGGGTTGGAGAGCCCTGGTATAGACCAAGGCCTTGGAGTGGCTTGAAGACTATTGTTCACATCTGCTTGTACTCAACTGTGAAGGATTTCAAACGTCAGTTATTATGCCTCAGAACACGGTTCCAATACATTCATTTTTCAAAACAGAAACCAGACCTCTTAACTATTCACAATCCTCAAATACTCTGTGTATGCAACAGCCAACTTTTCTGCTATGAGCTTAACTGCCTGCGAAGTGTTTACAGTTTAGAGTTTAAACAGCTGCTAAGAATATCCCAATGTTAGCTATGACAATCATGCACTGCTCTGTAATTTTCATGTTAGATTTGGCTCCTTTAACAATAAAAAACAGAGTTCTCCATCCAAATGAAATAATTTTGTGTCTGCCTTTCATATATTTTGATTCAGGCGAGTGCTGCATGCTGTGCTGCGATGTGACACGTGCAATTAAAAAGACTGCATCATAGAAGACGCTGGGCACATTTGACATTGCAGCTGACAGTGCAGGCGACTGCCAACTGGCTGATCTACAAAGAACCTTGCAACATAAATAACCACTCATTATTATTTGTAGATCAGTCAGTCACAATTTACCCATGATACATTACGGGTTTGATCCTCTCGAACACGGCCGCTGACTTGTTTTCAAGAGAATGCTGTCTCTCTGACAAATACACAGCCCCTTTTTCTCCCCCGAAACCCCTTTTCCCTCAGTCACCATATCCTAGAAAGTTACACAACTTTCTGGAACAATTAAAACTATATATCATGGGAAGATTTTACAAGGTTGACAATAACAGAGGGCAGACTTCCCCTTTGGCGTTAGTTGTGCTGTTGACTTGATCCCAGGGAATGTACTGCAGGCCCAGGCCAAGGCTCACAGTGCTGCAAGTGTTTTGATTGGTAAGTGCTTTTCCACATTTTGTCAAGTGAGACATGGTACAATCGTCAATATGTCTTTAAATAATAGTACAAGAACAATCCTTGTACATTTTAATGATGTTGGAATAATTTATTCACTTGGCAGTCATCCTAACTCAGTGTAATACAATGACATTGTTTTACAATAAATATAATATTTAAATAACACATTTCACATTGAAGGTACAATAACAATGTGTGCTATGGCTGGATAAAAAGTGATTTGGATAGTTATTATACCATCAAGACACTAAACAGACTCAGTAGTAAAGTGGAATGTGTGTATGTTTTGAGAAGAGGGTGTGTGCTGTGTGAAAGAGGCACACGGGGGTGCATTTACTCTGAAGTGTCCTTTCCTAGTCTCTCCCCTTCATCTGGACTTGTGTGTGAACGGGTTAGGTGAGGATATAGACCAGTTCTTTTAGATTGGTATGAAGGGAAGGACATGAGGAGAGAGCCACTTTCGACTGTTAATGGATCCAGGATTCAGAAGAACAAGGCGTCACTCAATTGTACTCCAATTCTGTCCTAAGATCTCAGAAGAGAAGTTAGTTTGGCCCATTGGTCCTGATCCTATTTGAGTGTCTTTGATGTAGGAAGTGGCAATGAGGACTGGGCGGAGCTGTGCATTTGGTGGCCTGCCATTGGTGTACACACCAATCGAAAGGTCAGAGGGCATGGCAGATGGTGTGTCAGCAGGCTGGGACCATCTCCATGGAATCACTGTTGCTGGCCATCCTCTGCCTCAGGTGGTTGGCAAAGTCTACCTGTGTCTGAGAGAGCACTTTGTTTATGATGGTCTTTGGGATCCAACCCTGTGAGGGAAAGAGACAGGGTGAAACAGGGAGAGAGAACACGATGAAAAACAGTTTCTAAGGGCTAGATTCAATCAGATTTGCGCTACCTGACTCCCGCATCGCTGTTGTTTTGACGGTGTCAGAGGTGGAACTGCGTTAGAGCTGTGAAATTCACAAGCGGCTTCCGGTGTTATACCTATCGTGGACATTGGCAGGGTTGGGGAGTTACATGTAATCTATGTAAAAACGGTAACTGTAATCAGTTACGTAACCAGCGAAAATATTGTAATCCGATTACAGATACTTTGGAAAAACTAGATGATTACTTCTTGGATTACTTTTAAATTCAGAAAGGATGTTTGCGAAAAAGATACATTATGTCACATTTCTGGTTTCTCATTGACATTCAATTCAGCATTGAAAAAATTTGTACATTTTACTTTGTTCCACCTGAGCGAGTCTGACCACTTCAGAGACCACTATGATGACACCAAATGTGTTTGATGGATCCTTTATGTCTTCTTCTAATGCCTCTTAAGGGGAAAGTAATCCAAAAGTAACTGAAAGTAATCAGATTACATCACTGAGTTTTGGTAATCCAAAAGTGACGTTACTGATTAATTTTGGACAGGTAACTAGTAATGGATTACATTTACAAAGTAGCCTACCCAACCCTGGCCATTGGCTGCATGGAGTCACATTAGTATAAATCCCATGCAGCCATGTTTAAATTTGAACACTGGAATGTGTGATGTAATCTACACCTCGATTAGGCCAATAGAAATCCTCATTATTTTGATTTTCAATTTGAGTGTCATTATTTCTATATAGCCTACACTTTCTCATTCTGAACTTCTAGCACAAGTGGAACGGGAGTGGCTTTGTGAGAATGACCACACAAGCATCCGCTCACCGATTTGACAACTCCAACGCAGTTCCACCTCTGACATATCACCTAAATAAAAACAATGATCTGTGATGCAGATACAGGTTATCGCGGGTTAACGCTGAACTGATTGAATCTAGGCCTAAGTGTTGTCAATACAACCATTATCAACCATCAAAGTTAGTCAGTGATTGTGATAAAAGGACAAACAGTATCTATGAAGCAATACGTTCCAGAAAGGATTTGAAGAAAATGCTTCTAGCAGAGGGAAAAAGTTAACCAGAGAGTTATTATTTTGTATTATAATTTTTTTGGTTTTACTTTATTTAACCAGGCAAGTCAGTTAAGAACAAATTCTTATTTACAATGACGGCCTACCAAAACGCAAAAGGCCTCCTGCGGGGACGGGGGCTGGGATAAAAAATAAAAAATAAAATACAAATATAGGACAAAACACACATCACAACAAGAGAGACACCACAACACTACTATTATTATTATTATTACTACATAAAGAGAGACCTAAGACAACAACATAGCATGGCAGCAACACATGACAACACAGCATGGTAGCAACACAACATGACAACAACATGGTAGCAACACAACATGGCAGCAGCACAACATGGTAGCAGCACAAAACATGGTACAAACATTATTGGGCACAGACAACAGCACAAAGGGCAAGAAGGTAGAGACAACAATACATCACGCGAAGCAGCCACAATTGTCAGTAAGACAGTAAGAATAGTTGTATCTGTCTAGCCCTAGTGATGAGATGCAGGGTAATGGCCTTCTTACCTTTAAATCTATGCTTAATAACCAGGTGAACTTGGTCTTGTTTGGATCATCGGCACTGGGCCGCATCACTATACATGTTGGTCCGTTCTCCGCCCTGACAAAGTCAACAATACGGTGTAGAAAATCAATGTTAGTGTATGTTGGAGTCCAAAACAATATTTAAAATATTATGTTTGTTAGTGATTTATAGCCATCCATCCATCTTTCTGTCCATCCCTTGAGTATATGAACAAGCCTACCTGACAACACCCCTCTGTTCGGGCATGGTGGGGTGCTGAGTGGACATGCCAGCCAGGAAGCACGTGGACCCCCGGCGCTTGCCACAGCGAACACTAACGAAGTCCCGTGGCCCCACCACGTTACCAGGCGTGGGTCCAGACACCTCATGGGTCACCATGGTCTCCTGACCTATCTTCTGGAGAATCTAGAGGGCGGAGGAGAGGGGGGAAAAAGGAGGAAGAGAGAGAGAGAGAAAGATAAAGAGAAAGGGAAGGAGAAAAAGAGAGGAGAGAGTCAAAAACCTACACTGAACAAAAAATGTAACTCAACATGTAAAGTGTTGGTCCCATGTTTCATGAGCAGAAATACAATATCTCAGAAATGTTCCATATGCACAAAAAGCTTATTTCTCTCATATTTTGTGCACAAATTTGTTTACATCCCTGTTAGTGAGCTTTTCTCATTTGCCAAGTTAATCCATCCACCTGACAAGTGTGGAATATCAAGAAGCTGATTAAACAGCATGATCATTATACAGGTGCACCTTGTGCTTGGGACGATAAAAGGCCACTCTAAAATGTGCAGTTTTGTCACACAACACAATGCCACAGATGTCTCAAGTTTTGAGGGAGTGTGCAATTGGCATGCTGACCGCAGGAATGTCCACCAGAGCTGTTGCCAGAGAATTGAATGTTAATTTCTCTACCATACGCCACCTCCAACATCGTTTTGTAGAATTTGGCAGTACTTCCAACCGGCCTCACAACCGCAGACCGCGTATATGGCGTCGTGTGGGCGAGCGGTTTACTGATGTCAACGTTGTGAACAGAGTGCCCCATGGTGGCGGTGGGGTTATGCTATGGGCAGGCATAAGCTACGGACAACGAACACAATTGCATTTTATCGATGGCAATTTGAATGCACAGAGATACCGTGACGCGATCCTGAGGCCCATTGTCGTGCCATTCATCCGCCGCCATCACCTCATGTTTCAGCATGATATTGCACGGCCCCATGTTGCAAGGATCTGTACACAATTCCTGGAAGCTTAAGATTTCCCAGTTCTTCCATGGCCTGCATACTCACCATACATGTCACCCATTGAGCATGTTTGGGATGCTCTGGATCGACATGTACGACAGCATGTTCCAGTTCCCGACAATACCCAGCAACTTCACACAGACATTGAAGAGGAGTGGGACAACATTCCACAGGCTACAATCAACAGCCTAATCAACTCTATGTGAAGTAGATGTGTCGCTTCTGCATGAGGCAAATGGTGGTACACCAGATACTGACTGGTTTTCAGATCCACGCCCCTACTTTTTTTTAAAGGTATCTTTGACCAACAGATGCATATCTGTATTCCCAGTCATGTGAAATCCATAGATTAGGGCCTAATGAATATATTTCAATTGACTGATTTCCTTATATTAATTGTAACTCGGTAAAATCTTTGAAATTGTTCCATGTTGCGTTTATATATATTTTTTTTCAATGAGAGAATGCACATTTGGACTCTTACACTGAACAAAACAACCCAAAGTATGAAACTTCTTCTAGTCACTTCATGCAATCAATGTATCTTGTTGCATTGTATTATGTATTGTTGTTGCCATTAAGCAGACACTTTTAATCCAAAGCAATTTACAGTGTAGTGTTAATAAAAATGGTTAAAAAATGTTGATTGTCTCACCTTGACCTCTTTGACATTGGGGTTCCAGTCTCCCATCTGCTCCATGTTGCCCACCAGCTCCCCATAAAGGTTATCAGAGCGCTGGTCCAACAGCACCTCCAGCTTAAACACCTTCCCCACATCAGGTAACACCTTACTCTGCACCTTGTCTCCATTTGCCTGGGATCATGGGACCATGGAATTACAACTCATAGAACTGACATTTGCAAGAATTTAAACAACAACCTTGATATCGAAGTTCAAAAGAGATATATACTGTAGGTCTGTAATTGCTACATTGAGAAGGTGAAGAAGGGAATCTGTGTGCCAGCTGTCTTTGCGTACTCTATCTCTATACTCACAGCAATGATCTCAGTGGTCCATCCGTCCTGATCGCTGAGGATGCTGATAGACTTCTGCAGCGCCTCCTCTCCTTGCTTCACATACGACACCTCCGCCTCATTAAAGCCCTGCTCCTCCTCGATCCGCAAGCCTGGATCACAGCAAGACAGAGAAACAACATTATCACTAGAGTTAGACAACACATTTTTTTTCAATTTGGGTGGACCAGAGACCATATTAGGGTATACTGTATGTGAATGAGAGAAAGAAAAACAAGTAAGATGTGTGTTTTGAGTGAGTGGATTGTGAGGACTGACTGAGCAGTGAGCTCCTGCGGCGAACATGGCTGATCCAGTTGCGAGGGTTAGGGCCTGCTAGCATGTTCAACTTATGGTGAATGGCCACCATTGCATTCTTCCTCAAACCTGGGACAAGGAGAATGGGAGAAAGAGAAGACAGCTCTAGTACCATCAAAACGTCTATTATTGTTATAGCAAATTATTCCATACATTTTTTATAAAACAACAACAGAAATTCAGTTTTAGAACACACCATGAACACAGGGCCACTTGGCCGTGGAACACTAGCAGTCATTCAAATACTCTTTCACTAACCTGTCATGTTCCTCATATGTCGGTAGGAGATGCCAGCGCACAGTTTGAAAGTTGCAGGCAACATTTTGTATCAATTTAGTGTCTAGTTTTGTTTCTAAGTGAAATAGAGAATGCTAAAATATAAAATATATAACAGAAAAGACCTGTGTAGATTGTCGATTTTGTTCTAGGTGTTTTAAAGAGAGAATTAGAGAATACAAAAAACTGAAAAACAGAGAGGACCAGTATGATTGGGTTGTCGAGGGGAGTTTTGATTCTGTCTGTGGGAGTTGCCGTATGTGTGTCTATATAAGCTCAGAGCAAGGCCATGATGCTGTCACCTCGGAGATAAACACGCACGTCATCCCACCATTCTAACGACACTGTGGTCAAGGATACCTCTCGGACACGCTGAGCATGTCTCCAGGCTCCAGTAAACATCATGTCAGATAACGTGCAGTGCTCAGGCCCACTGCACTACACACACAAACGCACACACACACGGGCCAGGAAACGTGAGGTTGTACACATTCCAATGAGCAGACATGAGACAGAATACACTCTGTGATAAGATGATAAGGAGTCCCTCAGACAGACAGACAGCTAGACAGACACATGTAGTGTAGTAGGACCAGTGATAGTCACATCCGCTCACACTCCCAAGTTGCCTGGCTACCCAGGCTCCTTGCTTCGGCCAAACGCTACGCCACGCCCACGGCATTAGTTTCTTCTCCGACACTTCACCGAATGCGAACACATTCGGGTCCAGAACGATGGGTTGGGCCAGAGCCAGAACACACGTGGTAAAGTGCCCGTTTGAAAATTCGTCATTGGCTTTGATACTCTGATTGGTTAGAGACGATCCAAACGCTGATGACTTTGTTTTGTACAACGCCCCTGGTGCCCCTCGTCACCACAAACGACTTCAATGATGGCAGTCTCAGACTAAAGTATGTAGTGAACGACAGAGCAGTGGAAGAATTTAGTGTGAGTCGTGAGACTAACTCCCAAGGTTAGCTGAATGTTTGCTGGACAGAATATTCTGCCTCCAAACTGTGTTGAAACCACCTGTAGTGTCGGTATGATCCCATCTTTAACAATATGACCCAAGCAGAGAGGGATGTTCTGAAACTGGACATCAGTGGAGGCTGGTGGGAGGAGCTATAGGAGGATGGGCTCATTGTAATGGCTGGAATGGCATCAATGGAATGGAGTCAAACATGTTGTTTCCATGTGTTTGATATCGTTCCATTTATTCCAGGTGGCTCTATCCACATACAGTACATAGTATCTAGGATCAGACTGCACCATCCCAATTCTCACTGTCACCAGTATGGTGTGAAAACATAGAGGTCAGCCATTATGTGCTTAAGGTGGTTACTGGTTAAATGCAATTTTGATTGTTGGGAACAATTAATAACATGTTACTGGAAACTAATTGTAGAAATGCATTGTCAAACTGTTATTTTAAACCTGGTCTAGAGTTACTGTGTGTAGCCAAGTACTTACAATCTGATTACCTATATTAAGTAAGTTATAAGTGTATGTCCCACGGGCAACTTACTGTAAAGTGTAGAAACTCAACCAGTTACTGCACTGCAGAATCTCAGAATGCAAATGTCCAAGCCATAAGACTGCTAAATTGTTAGTCCCGGTAGCTATTTGGTTAACTATTTAACTATCTGCATTGACCCTTTTTATCTCATCACGTACGCTGCTGCTGCTGTTTATTCCTAGTTGTACATATCTACCTCAATTACCTCATACCCCTGCACAAGTTATCATTACTCATTTTTTAAAATGTATTATTACTTTTACTATTATGTGTTTTCTTTTTCTTTTATTTCTCTATTTTCTTTATCTCTGCACTGTTGGGAAAGGCCGTAGGTAAGTATTTCACTGTTAGTCTACACCTGTTGTTTACGAAGCATGTGACAAATAAAATGTGATTTGAATCGAATGTGTCAGTCAGACAGCCACTCACAAAGTATTGACTACAATCACTGTCCATGGTGCTGAAATTGTGACATGTCTTTGCGGCTGCATGCCAATCGAATCGATTATAGGCTTTCTGTGGTGCCAGGACATGTATAGCTTTGCTTTAGCTAATGGATAAATGTTTATTGGTAGGCCTATTTGGTCGTAATTATCTCATGTTAGCCTAACATTTCAGGAAGCTATACATAGTGTTGCAATGCTGCCATTTTTAGACTGCTGGCTGGTGGCAATAATGTAATTACTTGTTCAGTAATAAAAATTTGAAATTCAAACATAGCAAATTATTTTTGTTTTTGTTTTTATGCAACAGCATACTAATCAGCTACAAATAGATTTTTTTGAATATACTGTACAACTGTCCTGTATAGGCTACTTGAACCTCCAAGACATGAGCTGTCCTCGCGCTCTCTCCCAGCTTGGATGATAAGTTGTTGTGCATAAAACCAGTCTATTAATGCCAAATAATACGGTCAGTCCCCCTCAAAACACTAGCTTACTAGGGATTGTTTCATTATGCAGTGTACTATCTATAGCTATATACCGTATTATCTTCTATTTATAAACTTTATAAAAATTACACATCAAATAGCTTAACAATGATGAAGAAAGTAGTCGGCTTGAGGATAAATTTAGACACTATTTATTGTTGAACTCAGCGGGTTTTGTATGGCTAATAGCCTGCACAAATGGGCTGCAATATTCAAGGTCCATTTTATTAAACCAAATTCAATCCAACTTGAGACTCCCCTGATCTCAAAGTCCTCCTTTCTTGTGTGTAAATGTTTTCACCACGGTCTGTTGGTCCAGGTTGTGGGCCCGGCTGTTTTCTATACTGAGTGTTGCCAATCCAGACATCCAGACAGTCTTTCCTGAGACATTGTGCATTAAATGTCCATTAAACTGCACACAATTTAAACGTAGTCTTGAATGGTAAGGGACTGTTAGGGGGGGGGGGGTTCCCTAAAGAACTGTTGTTGTCACGCCCTGGCTCTGGGGACACTTGTATGTTGAGCCAGGGTGTGCATTTCATTTGTTTATCTTGTATGTGTATTTCTATGTTGGCCTGAGTGGCTCCCAATCAGAGGCAACGAGTGTCAGCTGTCGTTGGTTGTCTCTGATTGGGAGCCATATTTAAACTGTCTGTTTCCCATTTGTGTTTGTGGGATCTTGTTTCAAGTCTGTTTATGTTAGACCGTGAACTGTCACGTATCGTTTGTTGTTTTGATCGTGTCTCTAATTAAAGAGTATGTTTGCCTGCAACGCTGCGCCTTGGTCCTCATCTCTGTTTGACGATCGTGACAGAAGATCCCACCTCGACTGGATCAAGCAGCGTGACGAGGAGAGAGGATGGACTTGGGAGGAGATGAGTGCGAGTCTGGCAAGAGGGATGGAGGCCTTGGCCACGGGTAGGAGTGAAGCCCATACATTTTTTAGGGGGGGGGCTAACGCCGTGGACGACGGGGCAGCAGGAGGCCGCCAGGTTACGGGAGTCACTGGTCACCAGGGGGAAGGAGGATTTAGAGGCACGGCGAGAGGTACTGGCGTGTGTTGCCAGTCCGGTCCGGCCTGTTCCTGATCCCCACGTAGGGCCAGTGGTGTGTGTTCCCAGTACGGTCCGGCCTGTTCCTGCCACTCGCACCAAGTCAGTGGGGCGCATCGTCAGCCCGGCACGGCCCGTTCCTGCTCCCCGCACCAAGTCAGTGGTGCGCTTCGTCAGCCCGGTCCGGCCCGCTCCTGCTCCCCGCACCAAGTCAGTGGTGCGTTTCGTCAGCCCGGCGCGGCCCGTTCCTGCTCCCCGCACCAAGTCAGTGGTGCGCGTCGTCAGCCCGGTCCGGCCCATTCCTGCTCCCCACACCAAGTCAGTGGTGTGTTTCGTCAGCCCAGCTCGGCCCGTTCCTGCTCCCCGCACCAAGTCAGTGGTGCACTTCGTCAGCCCGGCACGGCCCGTTCCTGCTCCCCGCACCAAGTCAGTGGTGCGCTTCGTCAGCCCGGTCCGGCCCGCTCCTGCTCCCCGCACCAAGTCAGTGGTGCGTTTCGTCAGCCCGGCGCGGCCCGCTCCTGCTCCCCACACCAAGCCAGTGGTGTGCGTCGTCAGTCCGGCACGGCCAGTGCCTGTTCCACCGGTGGCTGGTCCGGCACCGGTCAGATGCTTCACGCCGGAGCTAGAGCAATCCGCTCCACCAGTGTGCAGTCCAGCTCCGGCCAGCGGGGCCAGACCGGACCAGGGGTACTTTGGGGGGTTGGAGAGGGAGCGGGGATCAGGCCCGGAGCCGGATCCGCCGCCTAAGCGGAGTGCCCACCCGGTCCCTCCCCTGTGGTGTTTGGTGGGCGCGGTCGGAGTCCGCGCCTTTAGGGGGGGGGTACTGTCACGCCCTGGCTCTGGGGACACTTGTATGTTGAGCCAGGGTGTGCATTTCATTTGTTTATCTTGTATGTGTATTTCTATGTTGGCCTGAGTGGCTCCCAATCAGAGGCAACGAGTGTCAGCTGTCGTTGGTTGTCTCTGATTGGGAGCCATATTTAAACTGTCTGTTTCCCATTTGTGTTTGTGGGATCTTGTTTCAAGTCTGTTTATGTTAGACCGTGAACTGTCACGTATCGTTTGTTGTTTTGATCGTGTCTCTAATTAAAGAGTATGTTTGCCTGCAACGCTGCGCTTTGGTCCTCATCTCTGTTTGACGATCGTGACAGTTGTCCACTAAGGGACAGATCGAAATTTACTGGGGAGGAGGTGCAGGTCCAACTCAAGGTGTCATAGAAAAAACAATGCATTCCCCTCCCCAACGTAAAACATATTTTCACATGACCCTCCCCTTGTACTGTAAAATAAATCCCCCCTCCCCCCTCATAGAATTCATGCAAAATAACGTTTACATTTACATTACATTTTAGTCATTTAGCAGACGCTCATCCAGAGCGACTTACAGTTAGTGAGTGTTTACAACCACAAATAACAATAACTGTAGCGACCCTGTCTTTATAAACATGGATATCAACTTTGCCACTTCAGCATGCTTTTCTGGCAGAGCACAGTCAATGCCACACAGGGCTATGGGCCAGAAGGTTGAGGGTTTGCCGACCACCACGGACTAGCTCACTCTCCCTGCCTGTTTCATTACACTATAATCAGAGCCGCTGCAGACAATGATCAGCTAGGAGGAAATCAGATTTTTTTTTTTTATGGCATATTTATAAATTACATAAAATATATGCAACATATTTTCCGCCAACAGGTTTCTGTGCCAATGCACCACACAGCCAATAAACAAAGTATACC